GTATAGCTTAGTTTTTGTCAACGTAATAATTAATAAGATATATTATCCACAATGGTCAAGTTTTTTAATTCATCGATGGATCTATCGCATGATGCGTAAATACAGTAAAATCCATCGATGAATTAAAAAACTCGCCCAATATCTCTATACTGATACTTACTGGAAATCTTTTAAACAATCCGTGCATGTGACGAACACTGGATTACGGCATTTAAACTCGTAATGTTTCGCCACTTTAGGCTTCTGTATCACATCGCCACAATGGAAACAAGTAAAAACAACCATTTCGCTCTACACGGTTAATTCGTAACTCTAAATAAAATATAATTGCGTTTGTTTGTAGAGAGGCGATAATTTTCCTCACGCCATATGCTTCATGTATTTTTTCATTACAGGACTGTACCAAGGAGTAAATCAATGGCTGCGTTCGAAAACTACTCGACGGATAGAGTAAAGTAAAGTAGTATATAATTGACCAATAAGAACAAAGATAACTAGGATTTCTTTATCATGATTGGTCAATTAAATATACTCTACCCACCGAGTAGATTTTGGAACGCAGCCAAATATTCATCATTACCCTAGTTTACATCGTACACTTGATATGCGTATTAAATAGTAACTTTCTATTAGATAATCTTAATATCGACAATATATATAAACAACGGTATATTAAGCTGGTATAATACTCATCAACAAAGACGTATTGTATTGATAGAATGCGTCGCTGTTGATATGCATTGTCGATATTAAGATTATTTAATAGAAAGTTACTATTTAGTACGCGTATCAAGTGCACGATGTAAACCAGACCATTAATAATTAATTTTCGGAATGCAGCCCTAAAAGTATATAACGGCTTGCGTCCGAGAGTTTCCGGTGTATGCGAGAAAATGGCCGCTACCGCCACATATTTTCACTATGTTTAGTCATAAAATTCTTTTATTGAAAATGAGCAGAGCAAATAACATCCAATACCATCTATTTTTTTGTTACGACATTTTTTTATGCAATAAGATGCTGACATTTTTTATTTTACGACAGTAATTTAATGGCCATGTGCCTCACTTGTACGTGTAATGGCTCCTGCACACAGGACGCGGCAAGCATTACCGCGTCCTGTGTGCAGGAGCCATAAGTATTCACACAAGTGACATATCACACGCACAGTGTCACACACAGGATCGCCACCATTTTCTCGCATACAACCGGAAACCTTATGCGACGCAAGTTCGAAGCCTCAGTTAGCAATTTAATCTAGTATAAACATCTGTGGCCTATACTGATCGTAAATAAGATCTATTTAAAACTACAAACGCCGGTATTAACCACGCGGAGTGGTGCGTGGAGCAAAGCAAGGAAAAGGTTAACGATGTAACAATAATACTGCACTAAAACTTATGATTATTATTATATTTTTAGACAATTAAAATTAAAATTGTACGGAGTTATCTTTAATAAAGTTCTCTCTAAAGTACATAGAAAAAATTGATGGGTACAATGTAATTTTATTTATTATTAGAACCAACGTTGTCAGTGAAAATGGTTGTAATATTAAATGGTAATTAAAATAACATTTAATATTATAATGCTTGTAAAGTTTTAAGTATTTTCCGAAAATAAAATGTTTTCGAAGTTCCTGATACGTCCGTTATGTATGGGAAAATGTATTAAATTTCGGATACTTTATCGTTACTTTTATAAAATTAACGATAATATGAAAAGTGACTTAGTACCTGGAGTTCCCATATCTCAGGTACAAGAAATTCTAAGGCAGAGACACATCACTGGTATTGAAGGACATGCATGTATTGCAATAAACTGTCCTATATGTGATACAGAAAAATCTAAAAAGGCAAAGATTTATATAAATAAAACAACAGGTAATATATGTATATATATATATATATATATATATATATATATATATATATGTATGTATATACCATATAAAAAGACTATTTACATATACACAGTAATTACTAACTAATAATGCATTAATGTTGTAATTTCTTATTTAGTGATGAAATTATTACATACATGTTGTATTATATTTATATTGTTGAATAAAAAATTATAATATTACCGTTAGTTAGTTTTTAGTAGTATATATAATCAAGATATTTCTTTTTTTATAAACTTTATTTCAGGATATTTTATCTGTGATAAATGTAGTTCCAAAGGTACATGGGATTTGTTAGAAAAATTGTTATTAACTAAATCAACCAAATCAAGTAGTGTACAGAAAGAATTGGAGACTGTACGAAATATTATAAAAACCCAAGAAGATTATACTTCAAAATGGAATGACATAATCAAGTCCAATTGTCTTATTGCAAATTTATCACCATATTTATATGAGGAAATTCTGTCCAAGTTTTCTCTCCCAGTAAGTTTAATCATGCATATTTCAAAATTTATATATATGTGATTGTTTATATTAAACAATTAAACTTTTTTACAGAAAATTTCACAACGAGATATCTCACAGTTAAATGGTGTATACTCAACCACACATGCATTGCTGTATTTTCCATTAATTGCTTTTGGCAGTAACATCGTAGGTTATAAGACTCTTTCCAGCGAATCAGGATTGGAACAAACCTTACCTACTTCTAATATTGGTGGTTGTATTATTTACAAGCAAAAAAACACCAGAGATAATGGCACTGCAGTAGTTGTGCCAACAATACATGATTTATTAGCATTGGCATCTCAGAAGGCAGCGGGTAGAATTATCTGTTTGCCATACAATTTACAGAATTTGCCACAACAATTGCTACCAAGTTTGGAAGATTTCAAGAAACTGATATTATGGTTTGGAAATGACGAGCCTAGTTGGTATACAGCTAGACAATTTGCTAAGAAATTAAATGAGAAAAGATGCTCCTTTGTGAGGCCAATAGGCACGCAACCTAGACCAAAGGTAGCCACAGATAAGGGCTACAATCTCAAAGATATCTTGACAAATGCATTCCCGATATGGCATAAAAGTATTACTACTTTCGATGATCTCAGACAAGACATATTGTGTGACTTGCAAAATATTGACAAAGTTCAAGGCGTAAAATGGAAGAGATATCCTACCCTAAATCGAATTTTAGGAGGTCACAGAAGAGGGGAAGTCACAATTCTAACTGGTCCGACAGGTAAGATAGTAATGAATCATTTGAAATTACTCTCTTGTTGCAAGGAAATAACTAAATTATTCACATTACAGTATACTCTCTCTTTTTCTATGTAAAATATTTTCAGGCGTCATATTTTCAGGTAGTGGCAAGACTACATTTATGAGCGAGTATTCGTTAGATTTGGCAATGCAAGGAGTTAATACATTATGGGGCAGTTTTGAAATTAGAAACGCGCGTTTAGCAAAGACTATGTTGCAACAAATGGCTGGGGTATCTCTAGAAGACAATTTGGATGAATTTAACACGTACGCGGATGCTTTCAGCAAGTTGCCAATTTATTTTATGGCTTTTCACGGTCAACAGAACATCAACGTTGTTATGGATGTATGATCATCCATTAGATTATTTATAATTAGACTTTTTTTTATTTTGTATTAATATAATACAAAATAAAGTAATTTTGCATATATGAAAATAATTCTTTTTCATTTTCAGGCAATTCAACATGCAACATACGTGTACGATATAGCCCATGTTATAATTGATAATATGCAGTTTATGATTGGTGTATCAGACGATTCTAAAATTAATAGGTGAGATACAAACGTTTTCTCTTTTCCGAAAATTTGATTTTATTTATACAAAATTGAATTGTAGGTATTGGAAGCAGGACAAGGTTATAGAGGAATTTCGAAATTTCGCTACAAAATACAATTGTCATGTGTCTATGGTTATACATCCAAGGAAAGAAAAAGATGATGAACTAACAACTTTATCCATATTTGGTAGTGCAAAAGCAAGTCAAGAAGCTGATAATGTATTAATTATACAAGATAAGAGGGTTACTAATATCAGGGGAAAAAAATATCTGCAGGTATATATTTGTAAACATTTGATAGTGTATTTGCCAGTCTTAAAAATATAAGTCAAAATTACATCTGTTATATTACTAGGTTACAAAAAATAGATATAGCGGAGATCTAGGAGTAATGGTAATGGATTTTGACAAACAAAAACTCAGTTATGCAGAAAAGAAAAAAGTGAAATCAGAAGAAAAGGAAGAAGAGAAAGTTCATAGTTTGTGAAGAGAAATAAAGAATGTGAGAATCATCTATCAATAAATATATATTTTTAGTATATATACTGTACAGATATATAATATTTGTAATAAAACTTGAAATCAGAGAGAATCATTATGATATGGTATACAAGTATAAAATAACTGGATCTATAACTAATGTACATAAAGAATTTTGTAGCTTTGAGAAAAAAAAATACCTTTGTACTCTGCAGCATTTAAAAGAACTTAATACTCTATCTTAAGACTCTTATGGAAAAAAGCTACAAGAATACAAAAAAACTACTGACATGCTATTGAAAAATCATAGTTTTTCAATAGTGTGCCAGTAATTTTTTCGTATTTTTATAGTTTTTTATCCGTAACGGGAAAAAAATACATATATTAAAGAATTTAATAGATTAAATAAAAATAATCAAGAATATTCTGAATTAAATGATTTATCTCGTACAGTTAACTGTTTTACCGATTGTGTACACCCACGCGTGATGATACGTGAAGAGCGCATCGAAAAATTTGTGGCTTCCCGTTGTGTTATTCTCGACATAATTTTTGCTTTTGCGCTTAGACTTTTCTTTAGCAATTTGACACAAGACCGATCTGTCCTATGTGTGAATCATGACAATCTCTCGAAGATGTCTCTTTGCTTGTTCCGTTATCAGCCTTGCGTGGTTAGCTACGTGTGACGTGATTTTGAAAGAGCCGACTGTTCTGATCACAATTCTGGTTAGGAACAAAGCACACACATTGCCCTACTTCTTAACCCTTTTGGAACGACAGGATTATCCTAAAAAAAGGATATGCCTCTGGTGAGTATTCGGAAGCAAGACATAACCTTACCTCACGCCCTCATGCCGGCAACGACGCGTTAGAGAACTCGCAAAAATCCTTGAATCCATCGATATTACAATTAAAAATACCGATGTAGTAATAAATTAAATAATTCATTATTCGCAACTCTGAATGTGTACACATGATTCTTGAAAATTAATGTATTAGTCTTTGTAAGTTAGTAATTATTTTTAACATTGTTAAATGTTTTAATTGACAATATAGGGATTGATTGTCTGCATCTACGAGCGAACAGAAGATAACAAATCAAACGCGTTTTGAATTATTCATTGAGATTTTCTATTAGCAACGCGCACAATATTGTTCATTCGCATCGCATAGATTTTAAATTTGTCAAAAATTTCAAAGTTACCCGCCGGATGTGTTGTCGATATTGCGCACTCAATGCGCAGGTGCGCGCGCGATTATACCTGACTTCACGTGCAGAAGCGCGAAAGAGTCTCTACGCTGCTCCATTTATGTTTGTGTTTGGCATATTTTCTATTTTAGAATGTGATTATTCGGTGAGTATTGTTCGTAATTGTTTAGTCTTCATTACAATTTTGATCCTTTAATTTTACACTTGTCAGAAAATTGAAAGAAAATCTATAAAGAAAAATATTAAGACATTCCAACCTAATTTGATGATGGAAAAAAGAGGGAGAGGAAAAACCTATAAAACTTATTTTACATCGATTATTTCAGGATACGCAGCGACAACAACGTCGATAACTCCATAGAGGTATTAAGCAAGTGGATCAATTCAGAAGGTGAAAAATATCATTCTCTGAATGTTTACTTGAACGCAACATCGACGGGATTCGAAGACGAGAGGACCATCGCCGATTGGTCACTCCGCAGATTCGCGCACATAATAGATTTGCGCGAGCGAGCGCTTAATTATGCGAGACAAATATGGGCGGATTTTATTTGGGTGAGTTAATTTTCGTGAATAACGCAGCAAGAACTTCTAATTTACAAAAACGAGAATTAACCTCGCGATCGTTATATTCAATTTCCATATTTTCTTTTTTCTTGCTTTTTCTCATTTTTCCTGTTCTTATCTAGCCATTCTAATTTATACGAAAAATAATTGGAGCTTTAAAGAAGAAAGAACATTGGTTTTTTGAATACATTCAGAATTATGTCGTAGATTTTAAGATTATAACAATTATTCACAAATTTTTTTTATGTGATATATGTATACAGTTATTTTTAATGTAGACAATGTAAACTATGTAGAATATTGCAAATTATATTAAGTAATACAAAATGGAATAATTAAATTATGAGGCAGTTACCATGTTTGTTTTAAATATTAATTATAAATATAATGTTTAAAAGAAATAACAGATTGCATAAAATTTTCATTTCATTATGTGAGAGATTGGCATCTTATAAACACAAATAAATAGTAACATTGCATTAATGTTATAATTTCTCATTTAACAATGTAAGTGCAATATAACATCCCATACAGCATAAAAGTTTAAAAAAGATTTCAGAAAGATCTCAGAAAGGTTCAATGTTCCTAAAACCTTTCTGAAAGCTTTTTGAAACTTCTACATATGGGATGCGTAGTATATAATTGAGTGGAAAGTTATAATATTAGTATAATCCCAGACAGCACAAGATCTCCTCAGGACGTTCATAGGACATCCTGAGGAGATCTTGTGCTGTCTGGGATGTTACTGTTAGTTGGTGTTTATTAAGCAGATTTAACTGCCTATAAATAAAATATCACCAGAGGATTCTGAAAATTAAAAACTGTTTAGGAAACAACATTTATAAATTTACATCTTTAGATTTTAAAAGTTAAATAAAAATATATATTTTTCTTCATTATCTCTTGAGTAAACCATGTATTTTTCAAATAACATCTCATAAATAGTTTACGTTGTCTATATATAGATATAGAATATCATAATTTACACATAATTTAAACGCCTAACTTTGAATAAATTTATTAATGTGACATAAATAATTGACGTTTAAGTATTTCCTTGATGAAGATATCAGCTATGTTATCATAAGTCAACAATGAGGTCAAAATATTATTTTGGTAATAAACTAATAAAATAAACTGAAGCAATATTTTTTGTATTATATTAATAATTAAATTTCATCATAATTTCATTATAATTATTTTGTATCCCCTTTCATATTACACTCATATATTTTTACATTTTGCATTTTATCACATACATATAAGAGAGAGAAGAAAGATTTTTTAAATAAAAAGAAACTTTTCTTTTTGCAGATGCTGGATGCCGACGTTTTTTTGACCAATTCAAATACTTTGCGAAACTTGGTTCTGAAGGGAGAAACTGTCGTGGCACCTTTGTTGAAATCAGATGGCATGTATAGCAATTTTTGGGCCGGTATAACAGCTGAACATTACTACGTACGCACAGATCAGTATGAACCAATTTTGTATCGTGAAGAGACCGGATGCCATGACGTACCCATGATCCATACTGCAGTTCTCATAGATCTGAGGAGACATGACTCTGAACATTTGACCTATAAGGCCGAGAAATTAATTAGCTACGATGGACCTGTAGACGATATTATAACATTCGCTATTGGAGCGAATAAATCGAGTATGTAAAGTTGATTTTTTCTCCGTGATAACTGATACTTTTTAGTACATATAAATATATTGTTTTTTTTTCATAGATGTGCCATTATTCGTATGTAACGACGAAATTTACGGTTTTGTCATGGTACCTTTGGAAAGTGACGAAACTATCGCGGAGGATATGCAACGGTTGACCAATACGAAGGTAGAAATATTGGGTAAGTTCGCTCTTTCTTCTATGACATTAGACTTATGACAATATATGGTATATAAATAAATAACTTCTTTGTAAGAAAACAATGTGATTATGAAACAATTATTATTTAAATACAATTTAAATTAGAATTTAAATAAAATATACGAATGATTTCAAGAAATGGAGAGGAGAGGGGAAGTCAATTATTTCTAATAATATAAAAGAAACACATTTCACTTGTATTTTTTGTTTGGTATATATAATATTTAAGTAATGATTATTATAGCAGAAATGATACGTTAAACTATCTTGTAATATACATTCGCGTATATGTTTTGTGCAGCCTATAGCGACCATTTGCCACTATCAGAAGATCTGAAACAATTCGTAACATATCCGGAAAAGGATACCTTAAGTTTGGATCACATTTACATGATAAACTTGTTGAGAAGACCAGAGAGACGTAAAAGGATGCAAAGACTGTTCAAGGAACTCGGTATTCAGGCGGAGACTATTGACGCCGTGGATGGTAGGTGAGTCACGACAATAAATCCTTTTTAAAAAACCTTTTTAAAAACATGTAGAAATACCTTTTTAAAAAACGTAGAAATATAAAACCAATTAAAATACGAATTGTAATTTAACCCTGCTCTTCTGTTTTGCTGCATGTTAATTAGACTTCATTTTCGAAACGCGTATGATAATATATACGCAATTATTGATTTTAACGTTTTTTAATTTTATGATCAATTTCTTTCTTTTTTTTTTAAATAAGTGTTTATAAAAAATAAAAAAAGAATATCGCGAATATCGGGATTACTTGTGACAGAATTGTTAACTTTGTTACACGGTACTCTTTTCTTCTTTTTTAGAAATTTAAACTTTCAATTTAAAATTTTCATTTTTAGCAATTTGCTTTAAAGTAGTCGTATCGCTAGATGTATTTAACATTAGATTATATTTTCACGTATGAAGGAAGGATCATAAATTTTTCGTTCTGGTAACGCAAGTTATTTGTGTGCTTTCATTGATCACGTGCGGTGAATGAACAAACGAATATTTTACCATATTATTATTTAAAAAGTGTTTATATGTCTTCTTTCAAACATTTTTGGTTTTCTTCGAATCAGTTCCATTTTTATAAAATAATATTTGTCATCATTTTGTTTTAATACAATATAGTAATTTGTCCTTATAATCAGTGATTGCATAGAGACTCGGTAGTAAGAATCTTCTCCATTATGTCATCTTATTATTCTAATCAGATGGTAATAAATATAAATTTCATGTATGATCTTGCTAATAAAAATATTCTAGTTTGGCACGACATCTCCATGTGGTAAGATTCAAATTGGAAAATTCTGTAATATGAAGATGTCAAACGTGTGTAGAAATAGATGGAAGACGTGTAGAACACTTTTTAACAACAAAATAACAAAATAATAATAAAGTAGTAATATAGTAAGATATGCGTTATTTATTACAGTATTTACCGCACGTGATCAATGAGAGTACTGAAATAATTAATGTTACAACTCTGAAAGAATTGATTTTTTTATCTGTGTTTATAATATTTTTTATTTAGTATAATGAGATTATCTGTCCTGTAAGTCTATTATTTAATATTTTATATACACAATATTACAAATACGAGAAAATTATTATTTTTTATTTTTATTATGAGTGCTTTATTTTATGCGTTAGTTTATGTAATAGAGATGTACAGATAATAAAAAGAAGTATGTGGATATTTAAATATGTGTACATGTATATGTATTTTTTTCGAGTATTACTATAAATTATAAATTTTCCATCGCTGCATTTTGAAAACAAAATGATTAAACTGCGGTTGATATCGCACTGTGTAATGAAGAAAGGAATACTGTGTTACGAAGTTCCTATTATAAAGTAATTCTGACTTATAGTATATTTAATTAAAATCACATTTGAACGCTTAGGAGTTTTCTTTCACCTGAATCCAAACGCAATAAGCATGCGAAGCAAACGAACGTACATATCAGCAGAGATAAGAATATCGAAATACGATATGATACATCTCAAAACTGCGCCTATAAATTGCGGCCTTAAGGAAAGAATTTTTATCACGAATTACGTATGTTGTTTGCAAAAATTGGTTTGGATTCGTTACACACGACATTACGAAACATGGCTACAACAATGCGTTAATTTGGGAGACAGTTACAGTCAATTTTTAAAGTAGAGAATGAGAAGTAGAATAGGAAGAAGTAATATACGAATTTCAATACGCTACTAAAACATTGTCGTAGCCGTTATGTCGCTCGTTTAGCGTTACACTCATATTTACACAAAATGTCGAAATACGCGAGAAAATGTTTACACAACGTTTCTCAAACATTTCTCAACGTTTATACAAGCGTGTTACCGCATTCGCGTACATTACAAACCGTGCAAGTGTAAGTGCTCCCATTCCGCGCTCTTCGAACGCTGATGTTATGCGACGATCGACATGTGCTATTCCTCGACTGCCTGCTCGAATGTCTGCTCGAATGTCTGCTCGAATGTCTGCTCGAATGTCTGCTTCGTGTCTTTTCGCTGCCTCGTGACTTTTCGCTGCCTCGTGACTTTTCGCTGGCTCGTGACTTTTCGCTGCCTCGTGTCTTTTCGCTGCCTCGTGTCTTCTCGCTGCTTCGTGTCTTTTCGCTGCTGTGGACTCTATTGACGCCCCGATTGGTGGTGAAACCGGTGACCGCCGTCACCCATTCGCAAAAAGAGTTGTTCATTCGCCTCGTGGCGGCCTGAAAATACAATTTAATAAATTTCGATTCACAATTATCCTTCCGCGTGGAAATTAAAGTTTCAATTTTGAAACTTGAATTTCAGTGATTTTTCACTCATACAGAGTGAATTTTCCACTCTGAATCGAGTAATTATTTTCACTGAAAATTCGAGTGTGAACCTGATGTCGGCACAGTACTCAAATAAAGACCATTAAGTCAACATTTAGAAATATTAATTCTGCATATCTCTTAGAAATTTTCACTTCATATTTTTAGAAAATATTTCAAAAATACCACCGGATAATATAATCTTTTTCAATATTACTAAAATATTTTAGAAATATTGAAGTGTTAAAGTTAAAATGATGTTAACACAACGTGAAAATTTAATTTACAATGTGCTCTTTGCTTCTTGTTTCTTCCTCTTTGTTTTCTTCTGACTCAAATCTTAATTCTTAAGCCTAATCTACAATATCTCTTTGCATTCTGTTTCTTGTCTTCTGACTTTTTCTGGCTTAAATCTTAAGGTTTGAATCAGAAAGAGAAAGAAGCAGATAGCAAAGAACATATTGTAGATCAAGCTATAAGCAAGAAAAAGATAGAAAATAAGAAGCAAAGAACACATTATAGATTAGTCTTAAAAATAATATTAGAAAACATACGTTATTAAATATTGTTGCAATAATGTTCTATCAGTAATTTTTTGCTTACTAGGTATTTACTCTAACATTCGCTTATGTAGAGTCAGAATCCACTCTAAACTTACGTGAAACATTCACTATTGCAATTTTAAAGCACTGTCGAGCGATTTCGACATTCATTCTTGCGATCATTATCGCTTCGAGTGAAAATACTGTCAGTTTTCACTCGCTTTGAGTGAGATTCCACTCTAAGAAATTTTTAGATTACATTATATGGTTAATAAATTACGTGATTAATAAATTAATAAATTTTGGCTACAAAATTCGATTCTCGATCTCAATATACATAAATATTTAACAGTATTTGTTTAAAATTAAAATAATTATTTTTCAAATTAGTTCGTATATGATGAAATAAATTTGAAATTTCGGAATATAAAAAATTCTCGCTATAAGTTTCTTGTAAGATATTTTGGTATTTTCTTTTTTTTTTTACGTGACGCTTACCTTAATTTCGTGCATTCGGGCAGCGTAAATAATCGGATTGACCAAGGTCTTTAGAATGATGAGACAGTTGATTATCGTGTAGATGAAGAATGTTCCGTGTCCTGACAGCCAATTGAATTGCAACAGACAGTCTTCGCACACGAGCATGTACATTATTACCCCAGGCATCCAGCCGATTAGGAAGCTTCCTTAGAAATTGCGAGTGGAAATGTTAAGACTTTGTGTAATGGATTACACTAGTTTACAGCCAAAAAATATTTTAAATCAGAAAATTATTTTGAAGATGTTTCTTATAGATTTTTGGATGTCGAAAATGATTCCGCAAACTAAATTTCACCAGCACGTCAGGTTTCTATAATAATTGAGATTTAATATGTAAAAAATGGGTTAGGTTAGAAATCATGAATGTATTGTTCATTTCCTTTAAAATGCATTTTTTAAATTTCCATATCTTATTTTTTAGTTACGTTATGAAGGATTAAAGTTAGGAGCTTTCTTTAATATGAACGCTCTCTATCTCTAATATATATAATAGCTTCTAGCTTTAATCCTTCATAACTTGATTAAAAAGTATTTAAAAGATGTTGAAATAAAAATAAAGCATTTTAAAGGGAATGAATAATACATTCATGATTTCTAATCAGAATTTCAAGATAACGTTACTTTTTCTTACAAAAAACATCAAATATCGCAAAAAACTCGTTTTTTACATATTAAACTTCAATTATTATGAAAACCGTGCTGGTGAAATTTGGTTTGCAGAATCGTTTTTAGCATCCAAAAATCTATAAGAAACACCTTGTCTGATTCAAAATAATAAAAAAAAATTTTTTTTATGAACTAGTGTTATTGAAGGCGAACATAAGACTTGAAGAAGTTGAAGGGAAATTGAAAAATTGCATCTTCGACGTTATAACATATGAAGGGGAAATATCTAGTGTATATCGAGAACTTGGCCGTCTTTGTATTTTACAAAAAGCAACTTTCTCTGTCTTACCAAGTATGAATAAAGTTGTGTGGACTGCTTTGACGTTCTTCGCCATTTGCCTGGAAGTGCTACGTGACGCTTCCGATGCTCTTGGGCGAAAAGATGATCCTGCTCTGCGAAAACGCAGTCTCGTGGCTTGATGTTTTTTTACTATGCAAAATATGTGAACGTAAATGCAAACCATCAAAGCGAACGGTCCGAAAAAGAGACTGCTGAACAACATTCGAAATTGCTTGTGAAATAGGAACCTGAAAATACGACGTAACAGTTTTACTCGATATATGTGTCCGATTGCACCCAAAAATATAATCTTATTTTTAGCGGGAATCCTCTTATATATGGCGTCAAGAGAATTCTTCTAAAACCAGAAGGAAAGTATTTTAACATTCAAAAAAGAACTCTAGTTGCAAGCTACTATTTTCTATAATTCCATATTAATAAGCGAAAACCGAAAGAATATTCCTTTTCTAATGGAGTGAGTTATATTAATCGAATATTATTTTAATTTTTTTCTTCTTTTGAATCAAGAGAAATATATTTGAAGCAAAATGTGTCTCTTTACTAAACTAAATTTTTATTAAGAACAAAACTTGCACTGTAGATAAAAGACGAAATTTTTTTAACTTTAAGAACATTATGCTTAGAATATTTTCTTTTTAGTTTTAGAAGAATCCTCTTAAGGCCATATAAAATGAATCAAGAGATTCTAAAATATCTTTGTTGTTTTTATATTAAAAGAAAATATATAAGGAATAAATTATGTAGGATTACGAGGTAAATATTGTGAGCATTTCTAACCCTTTCAATTACACAATTTATTCCTTACACATTTTTCTTTAATATAAAAATCGACATAGATATTTTCGAATCTAATGTTAGGTGACTCATCCAGTTTAAGAGAATTTTCGCTAAAGATAATATTATATTTTTTGAATGTTAATTCAAAAAATATCTGTTCAATATGAATATTACGTATGCATATATCCATACATGCATATATTACACATATATGTATGTATATATACACATACATATATATGTTTAAAAATATTACATATAATTAAAACAAAAAAAAATACTTTATACATGAATAAGCGAAAAGAATTTTCACGTGGTTTAAAATTTGAATAATTTTGTACTTACGGGTTTTTTTCGCATCTTGCCGACTGGAAGCCTTCATTTTTGATTAGACTAAAATATAGCGTGAAGAAAGAAATTGGTAGTACCCACAGCAGGACTAAGAGAAACGTAGTGTTCCTTAAAAGAAAAACGTAGGTGCATTTGTATTGTTCAAAAAGTTTTTCGACGGGGAAAGACGAGTGGTAATTACCTATATGTCATAATTGACAGATAGTGAAGAGGTTTGAGAATGCCCAGATAGTGATTGATGGCTAGAGCCATTAAATGGAATACCGTAATTATTACGCCTCCCAGCCTCACTGCTTCAAGCGCCAGTAAAAAACAGTTTACGCCTAGAAAAAATTAGATTCTTCAATTAATATCTTATTTCCATAGAAATATTCGCATGCGTGCATAGGCCATCTTAAATTTTGACGTGCAGTTTGTTTACGATATGTTGAGGAAGAATTTGGCAAATAAAATATTCTGAAAATAAAGATAACTTCTAAACTGACTATTGACTATTACATCTACGACTAAACGTCAGTAAATTTTTAAGTCTAGTCAGTCAAGAACCTTAAATCGAAGACGTATTATTAATAGCAATTTTCCTAATTTAATTAAGTTGATTTATATTACCTTTCAATTCAATTCCAAGACCATAAGGTATAAAACTATTCATGATTAGTCCTATGCCCAAAGCAGTGCTGGAGAAAGCATCCGCACCTATAAAGGCAACGTAGAAATTAGAGAATTAATAATATAAAATTTAAGTGCTGTTTCTCTAAAAAAAATTGTCTACTTATCAATTCGTAACTGGTACTCGTTGTGCGCATGTCATTTTCAATACTCATTTTGCAATAAAAACGCAAGATGAAAGATTCCAAAAAGAATCTTTATATTGTACATTTCAAAAAATTTAAAAAGTTTGGAGTATTTTTTTTTATTTAATGTAGAACAACTAACATTAAAATCATCAAGGTATCAGGATGTCAAGATAATTGTTACTTGTATATAATTATATGAAGCGTTCCAGACTTTTCTCTTAGTGATAAAACCTGAGTTTGAACGATAAAACATCATTTTTCACTTACAGTTTCAAGCGTTCTCTTGATTTCCTTTGTTACTTACTTTACTTAACATAAATTAACTTCCAAGTTTGGTCAAGATAAGTAATATCATGGATCAAGAAGTTGGAGAGACGGGGTTTCATGAAATTTTTATTAAGGGAAAATAATTTCAAGGAAAGTGAAAGGGGAAAAGAGAAAGCAGATTGATGAAAAATGGCTCGAAGACAGACTGGTGTATATATAATCTAAAGTAGCTATAGTTCCACTCGCGCACGAAAATATACGAATTAACTTGAGTTTTGTGAAACAGGAGATTGAAAGACAATATTTTTGCCAGCTAAGAATATCGCAGTGAATTTACTTTTCGCGGTTCTGGATATACTTATTAATGCGCGATTTTAGAGACACGCTTATTTAATGTAGCGTTTATTGCGAGCGCTACGAGTTACCAGTCTGTTGCAGATCTGTTAATTTTTAACTAAGAGACGAACATATATATACGCACACACACACGCGCGCGCGCGCACGCACACACACGCAACAAAACACGTGCAAAAAAAACACTCACACATAATCATTGCCTACCTGCTAGACTCAAGCTGATGTATAACGTTGGACTGAGCGGCCGTTTTATCCAAAATACACTCATAAGAACTTTGATATTTATGGCTATCGAAATGACGCAGAAAAGGATCAGCGGTGGTGTCCCATATAAATAGAGTACACCGTTGACGTGTCCAATACGACTTTGTATGTCCGCGCCCGCCGCCACCGATTCATCAATCGTTGTCATCTTCTTCGTTTCGATCGACCCCTCGAATCTCGATCGGTGAAGCAGAGGAGTCGCGTGGGTCGGAAAATTCAACGTGCCGTGCGCACGTTGCGTCGCGTAAAACTCCTCGGGCTGCATGATTATTTCGTATCACTCCTTTGATTTGCCTATCGATGCTCATTATTCCAATATCGGCGATTCGCATATCGTTGCCCCCGCATTCTCATAGTATAGAACATTTCGAGTTTTCGATACATCAGACGGTTAACTCATAAACTTGATAATCTACCTGAAAGAACAATTTTTATAAATGAGAAGATAGATAAAGAAGATAGATAAATAAGTGCATCGTGCTTAATGTGCTTAATGTTTCTACTAATATCGATTAAATCTTAACCTTAAATACAAAATACTTAAAGAAAGATCTAAAAAATATTTAGTAATAATCAAATAATATAAATAAAAATTTGTTTTAATATTTAAGAAATACTTTATTTAAAAAAAATATTTATAGTAGTAAATATATATTAGTAGTAATACATATTAGTAGTAAGTACATATTAATAGTAGTAAGTACATATAACATATTTACTTTTTACTAATATATATATTTTTACATTGAGAAAAAATACTTTTCCAATAAGAAAATATACATTGTCTTAAAGTTTTAGCTTAAAATTTTTTTACGAACAATTATTTATTTTATTTAAATAAAAAATGTAGATTTCACTAAATATGTTATTAATACCCGTCGAATAAATATTCGGTATTTTTTATTTTTTTCTTTTTTTATTTCTTTTTTTTTATTTTTTATTTTCTTTCTTTTTAGATATTCTTTTTTTTCAGTGTGTACAGAGAAAAATTTATAATAGGAAGGAAAGTATTATTTTCATCTTGTTTGAGTTAAATTCAGTTGAAGAGATGATAAAAAATCATCGTCGTAGGAATTGAATTGTTAAATTTGTCAAAAATATCGAATGTATCGAGGATATAATACTCTTTTATTGAATAGAAGTGAATTTGAAACATAAAATAAGTACAAGTTAACAGAAAGACAACCATCTTGGTATTATTACAGCTACCAAATGTCTTCCAAAATTTTACAATTGCATGTTTCAACCATTTTTCCTTTGTCTTCGACTCTTTAGATGACTCGTTGCGTCTTCGTCTAACGTGACATAGAATTTTAACGAGGTGTATTGCACACCCATTTCGTGACCTTTTGTTATTCTTTGGTCAAGCATAAGCAATCTGTAGTCTTTATTTATTTATACGTTGATAGAATAAAGATCTCAGAAGGTATATTCTTCTGATAATTTGGGCGCGCTTGTCGATCCCCTTCGTGGGAAGGGAATTTTCGGGGTTGTTTCGTTCAACCGGTGTGCCGAAATTCGAGTTGTTCTAGTAGTTGGGTGCTACAAAATACGACGATATACTTTCTTCCCCTCGCGCGTTTCTCATTTCATAGCCTTACTCGCGCGTAGGCAGCACAAGTTTCTTAGGATCAATCACGTCGTCGTGTTTGGGCGCGCAAAAAAAAAATTTGCGCAGAAAATTTACCGCGGCTGAAGACGCGACCATCATTTTGTCCGTCCGAAAGAATCGTTATTAAGGAGAAACAGTTGCGCAGGATAAATCTGAGGAATAAGCCTAATTCGCGAAGAGTCATTTGCGCCCTCCTCTCTATTTCAAGCCGACGAGAACCGTTGAGTAGAAAGTTCGTGTATTTATTATATTAAACTTTGGGGCGGTACTTTGTCATTTTTGCTAACTCAGATTTCAAGATGTATCCCGGTAATTACCGAAGTTCCGATTTTCTCCTCGAGAAGTCCAAGTAGCTCGCATCAAATATCCTTTCAAAATATCGAGAAAGTAATTAGGAAGGCACGACTTCGTTAATTGGGAAGTGTTACTCGAAAATTCCAAAGGAATTTCATTTCTGTTTTATAATTGTTTCAATGCTATATTACTGATACAATTGTCCAGCAATAAGAGGAACTTAAAGCAATGCATTTTTTTTTTAAATAGTCGTATCGTTAAATATTGTATTTTCTGTGATGTATCAAGGGAGTTACTCATAAAAATATATTAGTTATCAAACAAAATTACACATCATTATACATATATTTTACTCCCCAACCATTACTATTAATTTGAGACAAAATTAGGATAAATATACTATACGTAATACGTTAAACGGATTACGTTAAACTGAACAAAAAACTCCTTTACCATTTTGTAAGTATTTAAATATGTATATATATATATGTGTGTGTTCGAGTATTATTGTAAATTATAAACATCTTATTACTGCGTTTTGAAAAGAAAATGGTCAATAATTCTGAAATTTGTGTATAATATTTGTATATTTTAGCCTTTAATGTCATTGCAGTTTTTCATCAAAATCTCATGTATAATTTAGAAGATATTAAAAACAGAAATAAAAATAGCATTCTAGCCTCGAGAGACATGTGTCTCTCGTAAAAAATGTCAAATTTAATTGTAAATATCTCAGCTGCCGCATGGTTAATCTTTGCATAAACAGTTAGATAATTTCATCGTGATATGCAGTGCAAGTTTCATCAACTTCTCACGAAACTCGTTTCTTGGTGTAAGTATCTTAAATGGCAAAATACATCCGATAAAAAGACGTATAACGCCAATAACGTTTTTTAATCAGGAGATATTTAGAAGTTAAATTATCACTTTTTAATATTCTCGAGTAGAAATTTATCCAGTTTCTGACCAGTAATTGTGCAGGAATTTTTGGTAACTAGTTAGTTTTTAGCCAATTTTCTTGGCTAGAAACTGACTGGTTTGGTCGACGCTCACTTCGTCAAAAACTGAACAGTTGAACTAAACAGTTTCAAATCAGTTTTTAACTAGATTTTGATCAGTATCTAACCTGTTTATTAGCAGTTTCTAAGCAGTTTTTTTACTAGTTTCTATATAGTTTTTGACTATTTTATAAGCATTTTTTTTTATCGATTTCTGATCAGTATCTATTTACTTATTTTTTTTCAGTTTATTAATAGTTATAAATAATTTAACTATATATATATGTATCGAAATAATTTTATTAAAATTAAATTTTTATAGTTTTTATTAAAACATTTTTTTTTTCATCTTTAATATAATATTTTATTTTATTTTGGTCAGGAACTATTTCGAAAAAAATTAATCAGTAATTTCCGATTTTTTGCTGGACAGAAAATGCACAGCATTTCCTTACATACTTTCTTATATAGTTTCTGACAAATAACTGATCCAAAAATACTGAACAGTATTTTCAGAGTTTTTGCTGGACAGAAAATGCACAGCATTTCCTTACATACTTTCTTATATAGTTTCTGACAAATAACTGATCCAAAAATACTGAACAGTATTTTCAGAGTTTTTGCTGGACAGAAACTATCCAATATTTACTTACTATTTTTCTTGCATAGTTTCCGACAAAAAACTCCAAGAAATACTGAACAGTATTTTTAGAGTTCTTAATGGACAGAAACTGTCCAGTATTTACTTATTATTTTTTCAAATCTAGTTTCTGACTAGTAATTGGCCATGAAAAAATAGCCAGTATTTTCTGCCAAGTTTCAAAACAGTAACTGTCTAATTAATCCTAGCCAGTAAAAACTGTCCAGTTACTGGCCAATAATCAGTTTTTCCCTGAGATGTTTCTACTTAAGTTGTACATTTGCAGATATGATTTCAGCGGGAAGATCCACGCCTATTGTACCGCGTATTATAATTTATCACGCGCAGGTTTCATTTAATTGGACGGCACAGCGAGATTCGTCTCGTTTTTCTTTAATGACGAGAAGATATAAGCGGCACGTTTGTACGATTCACGAAATCGGCCGTAATTTTTCGCATTGGCACCGGCCAACGTCGAAGTCTCGATAGTTATATTAAACCGTCCACGGTGGAAACAGATAAACCGTGCGCGGTGCGAGAAGACTCGGTAAATCTCATTGACGATTCGTTCATATTGAAGGCACCGCCGGCGTCCCGAGGGTGAAAGATATTTCAGGAGAGGGAAGATAATAATGTCATTAGCGTTGCCGCGCTTGACGTATAGACAGCGTAACGGCGCAATAAGAATAAAAAAAGACAAGCCTCTGATGAATTATTTTCTTGCAGCAAATGCGCTGTAGGAAAATCGATTTGTGGCGGCTCGGATTTCTCTCTCAGCCGTGGCGAGTTATTAATAGAGCAACCGAAAGCAGCGAAAATGTATTCCGGCTTTATGAGTCGTAAAAAAATATCTTCGGTATTAAGTTGTAGGTATATATTGGCGTACTGTAATCGCGGGAGTTATCGCTTATGTTCCTTGTTTGTTTGACTTTGAAGGGAGTTTCTGGTTGAAAGATAGCCGAAATATATAGTTCTTACGAACTGTTTTCAAAGAGATGGATGAAAACTCAATAAAAACTTTTGACCATACTCTTTATCATCGTTTTAAATACTAAAAAGTTATTTTTTATTAAAAAAGTTTGAAATTTTGTTGTTCATAATATTTTGCTGAACACGATATCGTCGAATGTCTTTAACTGATGCTTTTAACAACATTACAGCTCGTATAATAGTCTGAAATAAATAACGAGGATTTGAAAACTACACACATTAAATTTGCTGGAGGATGAACCTGTTATATGAATTGTAGAACGTTGAAATATAACAAAATGATGACATTTTGAAGTTATAATCTATTTCTTCTCTTTCTTTTTTTAGTATCCTGGGAAAAATACTAATTTCGGAAATTTTCCACAAGATTTAAGCTCGTCTTCCAGCAAATTTAATACAGTTTCTAAATTTTCTTGTTCCATTTGTTTCAGATTATTATACTATTTGTAATATTGTTCATCAGTTAGAAGTGTCTGACGACATTGCGCCCAGTACAAAAAATCTGGATGGGATTGTTTTTTTCATACTTACAATTTTTTTTTAATACTTAATTTGTCTTTCTTGCGTCAACTCTTAATATTGTTAGAATATTACAATAGGATTATATAAATATATAAAAATATTGATTCAAAATTATTTCATACTTTTTTGAGCTAGTGAATTTGTTTTAAGGCGATTAATTTTTTTACGTTTTTTATTTCATGTTTTTAATTATTTATTAAAAGCTTGTTTTTTAAACCGATTTAAAAAATTTTGTTTAATGTTGCTTATAAATAAAAGTTTTTTATATCTTTTGATGTTCTCGGATTTTCAAGAAAGTAATGAGGAAATTATCGAATTTCCTGGTCAAACCCTGGTACTAATCTGTAATACTACGAGATA